TGGGAAAAACTTCAAAACAGTTAAAGCTATGCAAAAGTGGAATTCCCTCTCCCTGGGTCTTCAGACAAAGACCACGGCACCACATGTTAGGAATATGCTTTGAGGAGTCCCTCCATCTCAGAGAATTTATTATGAATAAACACAAATATCTCTCTTTGCTCCTAAAATACAGATGAGACACACATATAGTGTAACTTTTTTTTATTTCAATAAGCATTAACTTTCTCTACCTCTCCCCTTCTTTTCCACATGGGAAGGAAAATAGAAAAAACCAACAAAACCTTTCTAACAAATACATATATATATAGTTAAGCAAAACAAATTGCTATACTGGCCATATCCAGAAATGTATGTCTGCATCTTGACAGACCAGACTTTGAAGGTGATGTTTCTGTGTTCTCTTTCCAACTTTTCTAATCCCTTCTCCTTCCCATGATTTCCAGAAAGACATTGAAAACAGTAGGAAAATGTCAATTGGGGGAAGTTAATAAATTAACTAGAACATTGCTTGTCATAGTTTAATATCAACAATAATACTAGTAATAAAACATTTTGAAGACACTGAATAAAATAGGCATTCCTTGTCCCAGGCAACCATCCCAGCCTTCTCAAGGGACAGATTATTACAGTTCCCTCCTAAATATTAGTCCGCACATCAGCTAAAGGGCATCTCTAAAAGGTGTTAAATACTTAATAGTATTTTGTATAGGGACCTCTGTGTATGGAATTGCTATAGGGGAAGTAATCATTTCTAGAAAAGGTGCTAAACACTCATTAGCAGTTTTAGTCTGCTTCAGGGCCAGTTTCACAAGGAGAAAATGAAGATATTTACTAAACATTTATGGGCAAATACTGTATATTTGGGGAAATGCCAAGAAAATTACAGGAACTATAATCAATTAGCTACTTTTAGCTACCATTTGCTAATTTTCAAATAGAAAATTTGATGGGTCCAGAAAAGGTATGGATTTTAGGAAAATGTAAGTTGTAGTAGTAGAAATAAGAGATTTCACTGAATTGAGATTCTATCAAGGTGGTAGAATTAGGGGTAGTAAGGAGTTAATGAAAGATACCACCAGTTAGTGTGATTTAAAAATGTAACCAAAAGGTAGGAATTTTAAATGGCTGTCGTATTGGAATAAAGAACAGATTCACTTTCCAAGAAATAACAATGTGTTGTCTTCTAGGAGGCCAGGATGTCTCTGAAGCCCTGTAGGAGATTTTCCTCTTCACTTGGGTGGGCCCAGAATTAGCCAGAGTATTCTCTAGTTTAGGTTTAGAATCAAACTAAGTTCCTACAGACCTATCCTACAGGGATAAAATGGGAGAAGACTTGGCCCCCTGGGCCCATCCAAACCATCTGGGTTTAGTCTGATCTGGGTGGATAACTGCTATAAACTTTACTGAGTTACCTGCCCCATGGGCTTTGCCTCATTGGAAGCCATCCTGAAAGATATACAGTGTTTTCTGTTGGTTATGCTGTCCAGCAGGAATGAGGGACTTAATGACTGGCCTTCCATTAAAAAAAAAGGTTTTAAAAATAAATAAATATTTTGAAGAGATATGCAATTGTTTTCTCTTAAGGATTCGGCCAATAATATAGGCTGAAGCATTAAAATTTTAGGATGCCAGGTTCCCTGAATAGAAAAAAAGCATAATAGAGGAGAGGTGAGAAATGATGCTGGTTATCAACTATACAGTTTTCTTAACTGCCACAGAGATTGTTTAGATTGACATGAAAAATAGAAAGGACAGGAGAAAGATCATTGAGAAAGTATTATAGACTCCTGGACAAGAGTGAGAAAGAAATGAAAAATATTAATGCAGCTAAAATAGGGCCATTGAAAAAAAAGATGGAACATTGATCATAAAGAAGTACGTGTAACCTGGTATTGACTGGTGAGTATATTACAAAGAAAGGAAGCATTGTCCCTGAGCAGGTATGGTTTACATGCTAGTGGGGCTGCATTCATGAGGAAAACTTAAAGAAACTGGGCCCCTTCCCTGGGACAAAAGGAAATCATAACTACCTAATCATAGCTTTTGTTGGACATTGATGGTAGGATAAAATATCCTCCCAGTCAAAAGGGAAAGTTATACAAAAGATGTTTATATTCTTTTAGAACTAAACCACTTTGCCTCAAATTGTTGTGCTCATTTGCTCCATTCCCTTCCCTTCCCACCACTCCCTCTGGAAACCCGTCCCCTGAAAAAATATCCCTGCTGTCCTCTCCCAGTGTCTACTTTTAGGCTAGTAGCACAAAATAACATGAGACGGAATGGTAGCTTTCTGGAAAGGGTGTTGGATTTGGAATCAGGAAGATCTGAATTTGAATTACACTTACTAGCTGTGTGACTCTGGGCATGTCCCTTCCCTGCTCTCTTCCTTAGCTTCCTGGTCTATAAAATGCGGATAATAGTAACTATCTCACAGGGCTGTTATGAGGTTCAGGTGAGATGATATGTACCTTCAATTCACTCATCCTCTTCCCCAGTAATTTCAAAGCGAGACTGAAAAACCTTTATTCTTGGGTCTCTTAATTCTTCAGCCTCTTAAACTCTCATGGCCTCTATCTTCAGTCTACCACAACCACACACAGAAGCATTCAACACTTAGAGACTAGAGTGGTTTGTCATTTCCTTCTCCAGGTAATTTTATAGATAAGGAAACTGAGGCAAACAGGGTTAAGTAACTTGGCCAGGGTCAGAGAGCTAGTAAGTGTCTGAGACCAGATTTGAATTCACAAAAATGTGTATGAAGGACAGCAGCAACACAAAAGAATCCTACCCCCTTAGCTTATTGATGTTTTTAGCTTTATTTACAGGGGAAATCCATCCCTATCATCTTAGGCAAGTATTCACTGACAATGGAGTCTGGATTGTCCCTGGAAAGATGGTTTTTGTTACAGAAATAGATCGTTAGCATCTTTATGAAAATTATTCAAAACAAATATCCATGAAGACACTACTAACATGAATGGAAAGAGGACAGCAGGATCCCTCTACTAGGGCCCTGCTGTGTAATCTTTCTTTCACCTTAATTCCAAATCCCTTGGAGAGTGTAGTTATCTTTCACATATTTTCCTCTGCTCACTAATTACTTACTTGTAGCGTTCATAGTTTGGCTCCTGCAAAAGAGAAAAGCAATAATAGCTACTGGTATTTTTCAAATGTGTTGATGAGTAGAGATGATGGCTTAGCTCTGCACTTATATCTTTTTTTTCCCTTTCCTATCCTTACATACTTGGGGTGGGTGAAAGGAGGGTCAGATTCTTCTTCTCTTAGGCAAGGAAGTACCTTGAAAGGTTAGTTATTCGAAAGCGCTTCACAACTTTTTTAGAAGGTTTGATGTTTTTCAAAGGAAACCCAATTCCAATGTGCAAAAAATTGCCTTTTGGTTTTAGAAAGAGAAAAGAGGATGACATTATGATTTCACAGACCAGAAGCAAAGTGCACCTTCAAAATAAATGTTCAAAAAACAGGTGAAAAAGCCCACCTTTCTCCAATCCCTTGGACAAATCTTTGAACTGGGTCCTTTTGACCTACAAAAGAGTCTTATCTTCATTGCCTTCATAGTTCCAAGGTCTGCCATCTTTTTTGCTCATTTCCTCTAAGATGCATTCCACTTTCTCTCGTCAGCTTCTTCGTCCACTAGAGCTAATATCATCATCCTTTACAAATAATACTTTATTCAGACAAAAATGAATACCTTACCCTACTTTCTTCTTGATATGGCTTACCTCAGGCTATCAACAACATTATTATCATTCAAAAGAACTTTACTATTTTAACAGGTAACCAAAAATTTAAGATACCTACTAGTTTCGGGATGAACTAAAGCTGCAGATGGATTTTAAATTCTTCTAAAATTTTTTTTCCCTTTCCTTATTCCCAATAGGTTATACAATGGCACTGATTAGCAGCAGCATTTTGAAATACCACTTAAGGCTTTATCACAGTGGAGTCCTGCCAGTAATAGTCTTTAATTCACTTATATGTGCCAATTCATCTCTGTCAGGATCCTATTAATTTTCTCCCTGTTTTACTCTGTCCCTAGCCCCTATATAATGAGGCACCAGGCTCCCCATTTATGTAACCAAAAAAATTAAAATCTCTTGTAAATGACTTCTGATCTACTGCTTTTAGTGACCAAGCTGCCTCCCTACTTCCTCTTCATGTTTAATTCATTCTCTGCAAGCTCATTTCTCTAGAAGACTACAGGAAGCAGCCAAATGGTGAACTCAGGAAAAGTGTGGGAATTCAGGTTAACTGTTTTAACCTTTGCATTGAGGAATACTTTCCAGACTATTATACCTAAGACACACTCTTCACACAAACACAGCCAACGCTGAATGAATGAGCGTTAATGAAAACCAACCTCTTAATCTTCAATCATCCCTCATCAATGGGCAAGATGTCAAAATACTCACCTCATCATCATAATATAGAAAGCTAAGGAGTACAGTAGATAGACCTGGGGTCAAGAAGACCTGAATTCGAATCTGGCCTTATTACTTTCTACCCATGTGACCCTACACAAGTCATTTAGCTGGTATCTACCTCAGTTTCCCTATATGGAAAATAGAGATAATTTGTTGTGAGGATAGCATGTACATCTCTTGTACTTAGCATGTATATTTACATCTTTGTAAAGCACTTTGCAAACCCTTAAAGTACTATATATATATATATATATATATATAATATATATATATATATATACATATATATATATATGCTACATTTATTATTACAATTATTACATTGTCATAAACCAGAAGACCCTGCAATAAATACAGGGGAGGGCTTTTAAATCAATACTATGGCTTATGCACCTGGCATTTCTGTTGATGATTATCTGGAATGAACAGAAAGGTAAACAACTGGAGAAACTGAGAGGAATGAGTACATATTTTGGGTGATGTTTTTTTTGTGATGGTATAAAATTATTACTGCTGTATTAAACCCACATCTCTGTTAACTTACTCTGCACTTTTCAGAATTGGAGCAAAACATCAGGAGTTACGAGAAAAGCAGGCAAGAGGGCTTATTGATTATTCCACTGGCCTCATAGGACCCCTTCATGATATGGATGATGATGAAATGGATCCCAATTATGCCCGAGTGAACCATTTCCAGGATACTTACGTACCAGCTGGTGTCTACAGGTCATCATCACCACTAAGCGTCGGTGCATTGGGCTACCCACGGGATGGCCCCCCACTCTCTCCGGAGAAGGATCACTTGGAAGGGCTTTATGCAAAGATCAACAAGCCTTATCATCCTCAGACTCTTGCTGACAGGTAATGAAACCTTTTGTAAGTTGAAGGTAGTCCTTATTCAGCAGGGTCACAGATGGTCTGTCTGATGTTCAGTGAGAGTGAGAATTGGACGTACTGATGTGGATTTCTAAAAACAAAACAAAAACAACCCTTCAGTTTTTCCTGAAAGTGATACACAGTGGCTACGCTAGACAAGGGCTGTGTTTTGACTTAACTTGAAGCTGTCAACCATCCAAAAATAAAGCTAACAAATAATAGTAATAAGGCACCATGAATAGACAATAGATGAATTCAAAGAGCAAAGTCCCTGTTGCAAAGAGCTGACAATTTATGCAAGAATATTATGACAGAGCTGATAATGACAAACGTTCAAAGAGCACTGGGTTTTTTTTTTCCTCTCAAGAGCCTTACAGTGAAGAGCTTAGACTGAGAGAAGGTGGCATGAAATCTGGAGTAGGCAAATTAAACACAATGAGTGATGAAATGGAAAGCCATTCATTGCAAGGAAGGGAAAGTAAGAGGGGATATTATTAAAGCTTCTACAGCAGTGTAACTGAGGGCAAATCAGAGGGCAGTGAGGAGTAGTAAGGCAGCTTTGGAGACCAAAAAAAAAAATCTATCAATTTCATCCACAATAAGAACAGAACCTGGACAGCTATGCGTGGATAATCAAAGATATAAAAGCAGATAATATTGGTCATAGAATAAGATGATGAAACTAAATATCATTTGCCTTTAGGAACTAAGGATGTTGAAATACGAGTGTCATTCTGTGTGTTTGACAGGGAGTAGAATGAAATGAAATTCATTGTCATGTGTAGAACTGATCCAAGAAAATATTAATCAATCCATATTGTAGGTAGGGCCCCTGAATTTTGCACACACACAAAATGGGTTGACAATCCTTCATTCCATTTTACTTTGGTGCATTCCAGTGCAGTCTAGGAAGAGAAAAGCAGGGCACGTGGTAGCCCCAAAGAGTGGGCTCTTACTCCAGAGCAAAAAAAAAAAAAAGGCTTGTTTTCCAGATTTCTTTTGGTCCTGACAACCACCCAGTGCCCATTAGTAACCAGCTTTTGTGTGATAGCATGATATATTGAATATGTTTACAGTTTACATTTCCCCAGCTGTGTGATATTATGCACTTACAATTAGGTTGGGGAGAGGAAAGGAAATCATGGCATTTTTATGCAGACTGTAAAGTGTAGCTTCACAAGACTGATTACCTTTCAGAGCCTTTCCAATAACCAAGTGGGAAGGAAGGAGCAATTTTTAATCCTTACTGTCAAGCTTCCAGGTTGATAGTATTAAAGAAAGATGGTCAAGTTTTTCTTTGAGGTAAAAAGGAAGTATAAATTTCTGTGACTCAGTGATACAGTCATTAAAACTAGGCTGCTAATTCATAGCCACCCCTTGAATCAACTGTTAAGAGAAAACCATTTTTATTCACAAGCCATAATAACAAATGGTATTATATAACTACTAGACATGAGAGGGTTCTGGCCAGGGCTGTGATTGTTAGAATCCTTCTTTAACTCAAAGAGGTCACCCCCAACTGTGTCTAGCCACTGACGGTACTGAAAGTGGCCCCTGCCGGAGAGCTGCTAGCCCAGAAACCTATTATAGCATAGCCACTGAGCTATCAGGCCTTCCATGATTGTTTTTCGTCTTCCTCATGTATACAGAACTTCTCTTAGAGTTTCTTGAAGGCAATTTTTATTTCATCCTTATTGTCAAACTTCTGGGTTAACATGAAAACTCGTCTTCTTCAACACCATTATTCCCCCAGTGAGGTGAATCATAGATCCAAAGAATCATAATTGCAGGTGATCCCAAAAGCAAGTTAATCATGGAAGCATAATGGAGATCAGTAGGCTATAGAATTATTGCTAATGAAAATTTGCTTAAGAGAAGTAATGTGAAGGACCTCATCAAGCAAAAGTGTGATCAGAAGAGGAGGTAGGCTGGTTATGACTTTGTGCTAGGAGCCACAAGATGTTCAGAAGTCTAAGTGAAGGCTTCCAGCACCCTAAGTATTTCTTATATGAAAGACTTATGGAAGGGCATATACAAGGATTCTGTAGGATGAGAAAATGTGAATAGCTTCCAAGGTCCACTGATAGAGGAAGGAGACGTAGCCATGAGATTCTTTTTGTTTGTTTGCTTTATTGATGGATTTTGCTTTTATGTTACAAACATTTCCAGATTACCCCTACTTCTTGAGAGATCTCTTGTACCAAAGTAAAACAGTTAAGCAAAACTAAAAATAATGAACTCATTTGAAAGTGCTTGCCACCTTCAACATCTGTAGCAAACCCCCCCACTTCTATTTTTTATTTTTTTTCAAATGAAGAGAAATCTGTTTTCTCTCCTTCCCATCTCCCACTCCATTGGGGGAAAAACAGAAAAGAAAATTGCTTTTAACAGATATGCATAGTCAGGCAAACCAGTTCCCTTGTTTTTTGGGTACAAAAATAACTATGTCTCATTCTGCACCTTAAATCTATCACTTCTCTGTCAAGAGGTAAATAGTACATTTCATCATCGATCCTTTGGTATCATGGATGGTCATTGTATTGATCATAGTTCTTACAGCTTACAAAGTGGTTTTGTCTTTATATAGTGTCATTGTTATCCTGTAAGTTATTCTGGTTATTTCATTCTTCATCAGTTTATAAAAGACCTTAAAACTGTCCATCTTTATAATGATGGCATTATAGTATAAATTGGTCTTTGAATCTGCTTGCTTCCCTCTACATCAGTACATATTAGGTCTTTCTATGTCTCTTTGAAATGATCTATTCTCTCATTTCTTACCGCACAGTAGTATTGTTACACTCATGTATCTCTTCAGCCACTCTACATTTAAGGGCATCCCTTTTGGTTTGTAGACTCTTTTGCTATCACAAAAAGAGCTGATATAGATTTTTGTGTGAATATAGAAATTTTTCCTGTTTTCTTTGATCTTTTCTGGGTTTAGGCCTAGCAGTGGTGTCACTGGGTCAAGGGGTCCATCAGAGTTTTGAAAAATATTTTTAATTAGCATCCACTGAAGAAATAGATTTTTTGAAAATGCATCCTGTCCAACATGGATTACACACTTGTCTTGGTTTGCTTTGACTATTTAAAAAATTAAAGCTAAAACCACTTTAGATAGAAGTTAAAATTCCATTACACAGGGAATATAAGATCATAGAATTCAGAACCAGCTTTAAATCAGCCTGACCCCTTCTCATTTCACAAATGAGGAAACTGAGATCTAGAGAAGCTATGACTTGGCTAAGAACACTAGCTTTCGCCAAGTGTTAATCATAATTACACTTAAACTCTGACTTTGCTTTGCTTGGGTCCTTATCATTTATTTTCAAAATCATTTTGTATCCACGCTTTGCTCTGTAAGTCTCCCAGTGGCATTTAGCTAAAAAGCAATAAAATTCTAACTTGACTTGGCCATGACTGAATGAATCTAAAAAGGGTGAGTCAGCAAAAAGTGTACACTCAGGAGTAATTGGAGAGGAGGCAGATAACCAGAAGGAAGCTGCTAGTAAGAATACAGAGCTGCCACGATTATACCCTGACAGGCTCCATAAGCTACAGGATGGAAAGCTAGTGGCAATGAGTTCTAAATCCACGCTCGCCATATATATATATATATATATATATATATATATAATATATATATATATATATATATACACACACATATATATATACATATATATATATATATATGCAATATGACTCAAGGAAGTTATATAATTTTCTTGTCTACAAAGTGAAAGTGGTATAAAATCCCAATTTCTGTGAAGTCAGTGTACCAAGGAGCCATCAAAAAGTAATTAAGTTAAAGTAAGTTGACCCAGGCTCAGTTAGATTAAGGGATTTGTCCATTATGGCAGCTAGTTGGCAGTGGATAGAGCACCAGGTCTGGAGTTAGGAAGACCTGAATTCAAATTTGGCCTCAGACACTAAGTAGGTTTGACCCTGGACAAGTCACTTAACCCTGTTTGCCTCTGTTCTTCATCTCTACAATGAGGATGGAGAAGGAAAGGGCAAACCCCTTCAGTATCTCTGCCATGAAAACCCCAGATATGGTTACAAAGAGTTGGATACAACTAATCAACTAAACAAAAAATGTACAAAGCCCTGACCAAATCATATTACAACATGCAGAAATAATATAAATATAAAGATAAACACCAACATTATACAAAAAAATATTATTCATTTGTAATATAGGTATTAATCCTGTCCCCCAACATCAACTATATAGTAAACATTGTAAAACATGATGCTCTATGTTTTGAATGAGTGAAGAAGAATCAGAAATGAGGTAGATAAAATTAAGAAAATCACAGAATTGTAGAGTTACGTGGATTATATTCAGGAATCCCCTCAGCCATGTCTGACCAACAATCATTTAGTCTCATCATGAGCAATTCCAGTGATGGAGAGCTCACTACCTTGTGAAGCATTGCAGTCCATTTTCAGATGCTTTTAACTGCCAAAAAAAGTCTGTCAGTACACAGGGATTCTTAACCTGAGGCCTCTGAAGTTTTGGTGTTATCTTCTAATATATTAATAACTATCTAAATATGATACAATTATAAGCCTAGGTATTTTATTTTATGCATTTAAAAACATTCTCCAAAGGAGTCCTTAGGCTTCCGTAGACTTTCAAAGGAGTCCATGGTACAAAAATCCTAAGAAGCCCTGTCTGTATTAAAAGAATATCTTCCTCCCTTTACCTTCTGCCTATGGGACCTAGTTATGCCATCTAGAACAGCATAAAATAAATCTAATCATTCTTCCATATGACAACCTCATAAATATTTAGAGACAAATACCCTGCCATTTCAATGAAACAAATATTTATTAAGCTGCAATATTAGGTGCTGAGGATACAAAAGCAAAAATAAAGCAGCACCTTCCCTCAAGGTGCTTATTGGCTATGAGAGAAAACACAATATACATAAAAAGAAGCAAGTTTTGGGGCAGCTAGGTGGCACAGTGGATAAAGC